TTTTTTTTTTGGTCTTCTCTTTCAGACTCATTCGGTTCGTTCAAGTCACCACAAGCGCAAAGGAGCCGAGTCGCAAGCTGTCTATCTCTTTTTCCATCGTTTGTTTTTCTATTTTCTTTATTGGGTTTGTTTGTTTGTTGTTCATTTATTTACATACAATTTATTCTCATCATGGAGCTTCCACACGTCACCTACAACAAAGCCGAGTATATTGAGACAGACACTGGGAACAAAGTCAGCCGGCGGTCACAAATCTCTGGCAGTCAAAACATAGTCCTCGGAGGCAAAACCATCGTCCACGCCTACTGCACCATCCGCGGCGACCTACGACGCTCAGGCCCCACGCACCAAGCATCCGTTCTCATTGGAAGGTTCTGTTCCCTTGGCCCTTACTCGATCCTCCGACCACCGTACAAAACCTACAAGGGGGTGTTTAGCTACTACCCGCTAAAAATCGGCGATTTCGTGGATATAGGAGAAAACTCTTGTATTGAGGCTGCATCTATTGGCTCCTATGTGAAAATTGGCAAAAACTGTGTCGTTGGTAGGTTTGCTATTATCAAGGAGTGCTGTGTTTTGGAGGATGGTGCCGTTGTGCCTCCAAATACCGTTGTCGCCCCGTTTTCCGTTGTTACTACAACCAGCTCTTCTTTGATGCTGCTGCCTGAGTCTATCCAAGACGTTTTGGAAAACACTGCCAAAGATAGATATTCAAAGTTTGTTTCTGTTTGAATAATATTTACTGCACTTTTTGAGCATATCAATGACAAAACCACATCCAACGCTCGGGCGTAGATATGTCAGAGGCGACATGATCGTCAGCGCTAAGCTACTAGGACAGCACGGCAAAGGAAAAAAAAAAAAAAAAAGCATCGCGCGCACAAGGCGCCGCGTGGAGCACATGCCACGCCGCCAGCGCCACGGCCACATCCACCTCAGAAGCCGGGCGAGTAGCTCGGGAAACAGGCGTCAGTTTGGCCGAGTGGTTAAGGCGACAGACTCGACAGCGGGTGGGATTTTCCCGCACAGGTTCAAATCCTGTAGCTGACGGTGAGCAGCGGACACGCGCTCTTTTGCCGAAAGAAAGTCTTTTTTTTAGTTTGCCTTTGGCTTTGCCGGCCCTTTGGCTCAAAGTGCTGGCGCTGCTCGACAAAGCGCGAGTGCGCGTCTCCTCCTTCTTGCCTCGCTTGCCTTCGCTTTTTCTTATTTTATTAGCGCTGGTATAATTTTCTACACTCT